GTCTTCTTTCTTTCTTTCTTTCTTTCTTTCTTTCTTTCTTAATGCATCTCTACCTTTACATTCGTAATATTTTGCTACGGTTTCTTTGTTTTTTAATTCTCATTTTCCGTCTTCTTTAATACTTATCTACACTGTCTTTTCTAATATTGCCCCACGCTTTCTTTCTTTCTTTTTTTCTTTCTGTCTTAATGTTTCTCTACCTTTACTTTCTTACTATTTTGATACGGTTTCATTCTTTCTTTCTTTTTTAATTTTCACTTTTCTTCTTTCTTAATATTTCTCTACGCTTTCTTAATATTTCTCTATACTTCTTTCTTTCTTTCTTTCTTTCTTTCTTTCTTTCTTTTTCTTTCTTTCTTTCTTTCTCCTTAATATTTACCCACACCGTGTTTCTTAATATGTCTGTACGCTTTCTTTCTTTCTTTCTTTCTTTCTTTCTTTCTTTCTTTCTTTCTTTCTTTCTTTCTTAAGCTACAAGTGTGAGTCATGTAATGGTGATTGATATCCCAGGTGTATTAATGTACTGAGTGATTTACATGCTGACCACTGTACAACGTTATGACTGCCCTTATCTATCTATCTATCTATCTATCTATCTATCTATCTATCTATCTATCTTCGTTGGTCATCGAAAAGTTTACTTTTCTGTCAATTGGCTTTGAGCAAATGTGATTTATAAACGTATGCAATGAAGAAAAAATATCATCAAGCAATAAAAAGGTAGAAAAAAAGAAATACACGGATGGACAACATTAATAGCTTTCAGTCTGCAATTGTTGACGAAAGATTAACCTTATCTGACGTGTTACTTTACGCACGCGCAATAAGACACTCATAATTACACGTGCGCTTGACACGTACATGCGCCAGGAGAAGAGTGCAGGCGCTTATTGTATACAAGTGTTTGGGGGATATCATTAATTTATGAGATTTTCTTCTTAAACTTGAATTGATGCAAAATAATGTGGGCAGAGAAAGCCAGTCGGTAACTGGTTCAAATCTCGTTGCAAACCGGGTGTTTTGTGTTTGGATAACTGTGTATAAGCCGATCACGTTTATAGGTCGATCCTTCATTACTGGACAGATCTTTATATGTCTCGTGTATAGGTCGACTAAAATTCAACATAATCCGAAATCCAAGAAATTAGAAACTTCTCTCTAATAACATGTCGCTGTTCTTTTCACCTTAATAACGGCGGCTGTGCGACATAGCTTTGCAGTTTAGAAGCACTGGACTTGTTATGCGGGTATACCTCTCCAGGCACCTTGTATGGATGTCCATAACTAAGTTGTGTTTATTGGGTGTGGATACAGGGAATTTAGGCATACTGTAACATTTTCTACATATGTTCAATGGAGTTTAAATGTGGCGAGAGTGTGTGTTAATGGCTAATTGTATACCTTGCAAACCACTTGAAGATTGGATTATGTTTCAGGGGCAAAATATCAGTACTGAGAAGCATGGCAAGCATAAAGGGATGCAATTAGTTTCCAGCAAGATATATGCAGGTTAAACTTGTCAAGACAAAATAATGTTTTGCAAGTGGTCCTTCTGAACTCCAGCATAATACAATAAACACTATTAAAGTGCTACAACTCGCTTGAAAAATACCATGCAGGCAGGCTTGATTCAAAGAGTCATATAATATCACACACCACTCCCTTCTTTCTGGGTGTGCCATACATAGTATCAGATATGCTAAATCCACGTTTCATGGCTGCCACTATCGTTTTGCCTAATCTTACTTATTATAAAACGCAGATTGTGTGTGTGTGTGTCTGTACGTTTATATATTGGATCGGATTTTCTACATTTTTCAAACGATATCAACAAAACTTCACAGGACTGCGTAAAATTACCTTGAGGTGGTTCTGACGGCGCCAAAAATTGGAAAAACACAATTGTTTTTGCACGAAATCAATTTGAAATCGCGATAAAACACGATTTTGTCACCAGAATGAAAGGGGGACAACTCATATCGAGTTATACTTATTATAAAACCCAGCTTGTTTGTGTGTGTGTGTGTTCGTTTATATATGGGATCGGATTTCCTACATTTTTCAACCGATTTCAACAAAACTTCACTTTTTTTTGGGAGGTAGTGTTTCTTATTGTCTTGCACACTTTTTTCTTTATTTTTACATTCAGATTGCTTTAAAAATTCCATTTACAAGACAATTGTTTATAATAAAATTCTATTCAATCGGTAGACTCATAACGATTGAAAACAATGTTTTTTTTGAGTTTGGGTTTGACCAATTCGTAAAAAAAAAAATCTAATTAAGACATGCGTGTCTGTCAACCTTAAACAATAATCTTTGTCAATTTTATTTTTCAGTTTTTATGATGGTCGATACTTGATCTATCTCTTACTGTTACATCCCCGGGCAACGTCGGATTCTACTGCTAGTATATATATATATATATATATATATATATATATATATATATATATACATTATCATCTTGGAACAAATTCTGATGCTAACATCCAGGAGAGTAGTGTCTTCTCGGCTAATGTTTTCCGCTGAAATGAAGTGGAAAGATTATATTGAATCTATTGCTAGGTCTGCTGCTAGGAAAGTTGGTTCACTGTGTTGTCCAAGACAATTTTTCTTGCAAGAATCTATCTTACATATTTATAAGTTTCCCATTTATCCTTGTTTGTATATTGTTGCTACATCTGGTCTGGTGCTCCTGCTATATATTTAGAGATTCTTAATAAATTTGAAAGAAGAATCTGCAATGTCATTGGTCCTCACCTGGCATTTTGGTTTCAGCCACTTTCCCATCTCCATAACATAGTTTCCTTGTGCCGTTTTTTTTTTAAATACTTTTATGGTAATTGATCCGATGAACTTTACTCTATGGTATCAAAGTTAGTACGCTTGTCTCCATTGGTAGTTGCATAATTAAAAGAAAAAAACTTGTAGTTCCATTGATTTTTTTTTTTATGGAAGTATTTCGACTAGCAGTTGCTAGTCTTGGTCTTCCCTTAATTTGAGTAAAAACAGTGTCTGGATATCTTAGCTCGAAAGAAAAATATGATATGACATAAAAAACACCTCTATGAATTGCCTTTTTTACGCCTCAACTTGCTGTTACGTTGTAAACATCATCAACTCGGTTTGTTTTCTTTGATTTGAATTCTTTAGCGTTTCGAGCTTCTTTGCACTGTTTTTACCCAAATTAAAGAGTGACCAATACTTTTAATTATTTCCTCTATGGTACCGAGACTTTATGAATTTAAGCGCAGTACTAGATTGGCGGTTAGGTCTCACCAATTTTCAGTTGACCCGGCTTAGATGTAACCGTCTTTTCTATGTTAACAGTTTCTTTTCACGCAGTTCTCGCTTGTGGAACTCTCTTCCGGTCCCGCTCTTTCCGGCCAACTTTGATCTTCAAAAATTTAATGCAATGCCAATTGTCATCTACTGTCTTCCGGATTACTTTTGCATTGTTCTCGTTCCTTCCTAATGTTTATGCTTTAGCATCCAGCAACCGCCTTGTGTTTTAGTGGCTTTACTGTCTTTCTTGAGGCAAATTCGATTAAAAATGCCAAATCTCTCTCTCTCTCTCTCTCTCTCTCTCTCTCACTTCTCCGTTGTGAATCTCTCTTCTGGTTTCTTACTTCCCAGCTTCAATGATTTAAATGAAATGTCAATCGTGGTCATCGGTCTCCTAATTCGTGTTCTTTTATTGTCCTTTCTCCTTAATAGTGTTTTTATTTTCATAGTATCTAACACTCAATAACCCTTGCGTCTCAGTGGCTTTCTTGCCTTGCTTAAAATAGTGGTCAAACGCAAAATTATTCAGTAAATTGCTGACCATTATTTATTTAGTATTTCAGGTAAAATCAAAGATAAATGATTTTATTAGAAGACTCTATTTTTTACTGGATGTCCCAAAGGTATCTAGATATTTAAAAAAAGTCACTGTATGTCAGTTATTATTTTTATACATTTTATTCCTATTTTTAAGATTTAAATTATTCCTTCACAACTGAGCAAAAAACTAAATCATAGAATTTTATGTTGGATTTAACCAAACTTTTGGTCACTGTATAATTTAGCGAAATTGCGAAGCCATTAATTTCTCCTGATCTGACACCTACCAATTATTGTATTTGGGGTTACTTTAACAAGTGTATATACATCAATAAACCACAGACAATTTAGCAGCTCAAGGATAACATCTGTGCACAAATCCGAGATATTAAAATATAGAGAATGCTACTGAAAGAGCGCATCTGTGTGAAGTCAGAAAAGGAGGATATACAACATGTAATGGATAAATTGTCGTCAAAATTACGCAAAAATGAAAATAATACTGTCATCTAATTTTAACTAATATATTTACCAAAATTACACAAAAATATCTTGAAATGCTAAGGAGTAAATTTATTCAATAAAATCGACATTGTTTTCAGCCGCAGCCTCCAGATGACTTCGGAATCACCTGCAACTCTTCTGAACATTCTCCTTGTTTAAGTTGGTGAATGCTACCATAATCCTTGCTTTCAGTTCATCTTTTGTGTTACAAGGAGTTTTGTTCGTCTTTCGCTCAACTGCACCCCACACATAATAATCAAGGGGGGTTGCAGGCTAGAGAGTTAGGTGGCCAGATGTAAGGGGTGTTGTAGAATTGTCTGATAGCCATGACTTGGTTCTTCTGCTTGTGTAGCAGGGCGCAGAGTTCTGTTGCTAGACATAGGGTCTTCTCTAAAAGCCACCCGCTTGACTCAAGGCAGCACTGCCTCTTCAAGACACTTGATGTAGGCCTCCGTGTCAAGTCTGAGGCCCTCGTCAAAAAATTCGGGAGTTCTTTTCTTATCAGAGTTATTCAGAGCGAGTTTTCCGAACTGTCGTGTATTCGTAATCGCCATTAGACTCATCCAGCTCTTTTCGAATCCTCCGCACTGTCCTCGGATTGACACCCAAACACTCTGAAATATTCGGTGCGAATGCCAAGCAGTACAGCATGTCGTTTCCAAATTTCT